TTAGTCCTAGACTAGAGGTATTGATGTTAAAGTATGAACGCTAGAGCTTGTTTGGATAGCAAACCTATTACTATATGTTTTTTCATATTATTTTTAATTTAGACATTTCGATATTATTTAGACATTTCGACATTATTTAGACATTTCGGCATAATTTAGGATTTCGATAATATTTAGACATTTCGGCAGCCTAAATATCAAATGTCGAAATATTTCTACAAGCATAAAACAATTTCGGCTAACAACATTACACCATCATCACCATGTAAATCACAGGGTCACACTTTTTGCAAAGCGCTATAATTAAATAGAGTCTTACATTTAGTCATATAGTATTATATTTAGTCAACTATTTAGACATTTAGTCACATAGTATTTATTTAGTCAGCTATTTAGACATTTAGGCAAATTTAGACTTTTGACATTTCGAAAAAAAAATAATGCCATGTCGAAATATATTTAGACACTAATTGCCTAAATAGTTGACTAAATTAAGTATTTCGACTAACAACATTAGGTAAAACCTATTCATTCTTTATTGAAACTAAAAAGAAAATAATTACTAAATTTTTAAAAAAAAACATCAGATTAGTAAAATAATTTGGAAACTGTCACGCCCAGAAATATCTTCCGTCGTTTGTGAATGTTGTGATAAAGTTTTGAATGACAGAATTCATAGTGATTTAGATAAAAGTAATCACCTCGCAAATTCCCTTCTTCTATTGGGCAAGTTGTGGTTGGAAGTGAGCAAACAGTAAAGATGTAATCTCCAATTTTTTAATAATTGAAAAAAAACCTTGAACTTTAATCGGTGAACCTTTATTATTCTTTACATTGATTGCATATCTAAAATATAAATAAATTAATTTTTTATATATGAAACTGTATAGTTTGCGATGCTTCACATAGATTAATGAATTTTATTTAGTTGTCCTGTAATATACATGATTAAATTTCCAACTATCATATGAAGTTATTTGCTTTTTTTATATCTAATTAAAACCGGTTACAAACTCTACCATAAGTTATATTTCTGAAAATAAGTTATTGTTTTGAGCGATTTTGAATGCAAATGAGTGCCGCCAAGAAAAAACCTGTCATCGGCTTTCAATTATATTTCGTACCGGAACAATCCATCTAAATTATTAAGAATGTGTTCGGTAAAAATTCCCGATGGCAGGTTTCCTTTGGCGGCACTCATATATTCGATAAAATAAGACCAAAAAAGTGATCACCATTAATTTCTATTACACGCGATTACTGTAACATAAGTTTTAAGAACAGTGCTATCATGTGATATTATCCATCTACCCTAAGCACTATCCGTAGATTTCTTACCAATCATCTACGAACGTACGTACTTAACGTTTAACCAACCAATAATGTGTGTAGCAGGCATGCTTTGAAGAGTGTTGAATAATTATACAAGATGTGTTCAACTCTCAATAACGAACTGACGGTTCTTGTAGTAACCTTGTTGATTGTGTATATTATTAGCCAATCAAAACGAATGTCCGTCATGCTATAGTAATAGTTACGTTATACACGCAATTTTTTCTAAATTAAGCTAATTCTTAAAATTTAAAAATTCATTGAGAAATAATTCTCGTCAATTTTCAATCCGGCTCCCATAGCTCAGCTGGTTAGAGCGTGGTGCTAATAACGCCAAGGTCGTGAGTTCAATCCTCACTGGGAGCAACACCTATGAACATTATTATTTCTTTTTTGTCAATAAATCTGAGGGATCAACATTAAGAATAACTAAATTGAGGCGATAATATTGATTTGGTTGATTTTTACAGGGTACTCAAATTTCCGGGTCTGATCTAGGTCGGCGTTTAGCCCTAGTTGTTAACGAGTTCTCTAGCAAAATTATCAGCTGGACATTTTTTACTTAATGAATAGATATGATTTCATTAGTAAAATTTTTAATGATCTTGGGAAAATTGATCAATTCCGGTCCAGCCGACCATGATTCTGATGCACTCCGAAGTATTCCGACCCGGGATTGTTGGGTCCCCCCTGTATGAGTTGATTCTTAGTATCGCGATAAAACTAAGTTGGTTTAGGCTCAGTTTTGATTCCAGAACCTTTAGATTCCATTTTGTGAACCCAGGAACTGGGTTTTAACCTGGGACCCGTAAAATATTAGTTTTAAAAATTCAAAATTTTTTCTGATAATAACAAAAAAATTTAGGTAAAATTTAGTTTAAATTTCATAAATTTTAGATAAATTTAATAAATTTAAATAAATTTTGATTTAAATTTGATAAATTTTGATGAATTTTGATTTAATTTAGAAAATTTCATAAGCTCATTCTTTTGAAGAATGTATTATAAAACAAAGCTTGTAATTTGATTTAATGCAATATAAAAAATGATTAAAAATCAAATCGCACTAGTTACATCTCTAGATCACGGTATCAATATTCAATACAAACTAGTCAGGTGCATTATTAAAAATAAAACACGTATCATTATGGATAGTATGTTAGTTTGTTGCTAGTGCGGGCCAGAATTGTGAAATCCGAAATATTCTGAAATTCCAAAATATTCCACATGCGTAGGTAGGGTTGTATAACTTACGGTAAGTTATCCTAACTTACGTAACTTACGTAACTTACATATGCTACACTAATCTAATGCTGGCCTGCTTTAACACCTTATATATTTGTAACTTACATGTCATGTAACTTACAATGTAAGTTACATTGTCAGATAAGTTAACACAACCCTACACATGCAGTCTTATTTCTACATATCACAAGCTATAATGTATTAAGAAAATTTTTCAGTTAAATTTGATAACTTTAGATATAAATTCTCTAAAATTTTAAAACTTTTAGAAAATTTTAGTTGATACTTTGAAATTTTGGATTTTTTGTGAAAAATTTATATTTACGGGTCCCAGGTTTTAACCACTAGGTTCCGAACTTGGTTTGATTCAACTCATACTGGGGTCCCAAAATTTCCGCTTCGGAGTGCATCGGAATCATGGTCGGCTAGATCGGAATTGATCGATTTTCCCCAAGATCATAAAGCCAAGCTGGTAATTTTGCTATAGAACTTGCAGGACCCCGAACAATATATATAGAGGTTACATTGAAATTTTGGCTAAAAAGGTTACTTTTTTACAAAAATGTTACATTTGAAAAGTGGATATTGGTCAAAAGGTTACATTTAAAAGTGGATAAAAGCTTTTAATGTTATATTATTAAAAGTGGATAAAATTAATAAGTATTAAATAGGTTGTATTTAAAATTTGGATAAAGAAAAAATTTTTTAAAAAAACCTTTTTTTGAAAAAAATTTTTTTTTAAGAAATTTTTTTTTTAAGAAAAATTTTTTTTTGAAAAATTTTTTTTTAAGAAAAATTTTTTTTTGGAAAAACTTTTTTTTTGAGATAAATTTTTTTTGAGAAAAATTTTTTTTTGAGAACTTTTTTTTTAAGAAAAATTTTTTTTAAGAAAAATATTTTTTAAGAAAAATTTTTTTTCTTAAAAAATTTTTTTTTAAGAAAAATTTTTTTTTAAAAAAAATTTTTTTGAGAAAAAAATTTTTTTTGAAAAAATTTTTTAAAAAAAAGTAGTTATATTTAATATTTGGTTAAAATTTATTAAATATTAAAGCTTATATGTAAAATATGGTTAATTAGCTCTAATAAAAAGTGGATAAAAATTTTAAAAAGTTTATATTAAAGCTAATGTAACCTCTATATGTATTGTTCGGGGGTCCTGAACTTGCTAACAACTTGGGCAAACGCCGACCTAGATCCGACACATCCAACCCGGAATTTTGGGTAAAATTCGTTAAGTTCCAGAATCTGGTTCTGGAACCTGGTTTTAGAACCTGGTTCAGGCATAAAATTTTAAGCTTAATAGTATTTTATTTTTATCTGGCCTTTAAACAATCTTTGCACATTTACATTATATAATTAATAGATATATACAGTCAATTCTCTCAATTCCGAACCGTCCGTTCTTATATGTAAAAATATCAAAAAGTTCTGTTCTCAAAAGAGTTACTATGTTGTTGATCCGAACATTACAATAAAAGTTACAACCGTTCTGAAATTTTGTGTTCGTTTTCATAGGGTTTATTAAAGGTTCGGGATTATCCAGGTTCGGATTAAAGAGAGGCGACTGTATATAAATATTGAAGAATAATTTTTTTAGTATATGCATTTAGAAAATAATAAGAATGCATTTATAAACATCAAGAATATGTTTTGGCCAGAATCTGAGAGTGCATTCAAAGAATTATGTACTTAAGAGGGTGCACTTAGGAAAATTTTACTGAGTTAGGACTATATAAAATAATATATAGGCTGATTTGAGTAATTTATAAGTAGGCCTTATTTTTTTTTAAAAGTTCAATAACTTTTGATCTACTGGTTTGTGTTTTAAATGATTAAAATCACAGAATTGCGAGAAAATGTGCTGTTAAATAGTGACGCACCTAGGGGGTAGGAAAGATTGATTAAACCTATGTCTAACCAATTCTTCCCACCCTAGGTTCGTCACTATTTGACAGCACATTATCTCGCGATCCTGTGGTTAGATTTTAATGATTTTGGACTCGTTGGAATCGTCTCAAAGAGAAGAAGCTATTTAACTTTTAAAAAAATAAGCCCTACTTATAAATTACTCAAATCAGCCCATATGAGTAACATTCATATCTAATGAATAAATTTTATTTGATTAATGCTAATTTAATTACAACCCTATTTGTTCATTCATAATAATGAATAAAAATATTTCAAAATTGTATCATAAACAACTTTCTTAATTTTTCATGTGGTTTGCAACATTTAAAATTTTAGATAGAGAATTTAAAAAAAAAAAAGATATGTATATATACACAGATATATATGGTAACTAGTAGCTATCACTATTTTTATATTTACATATAAAGATATCTGATATCATATATATGAACGTACAAGAGTGATATAAAAGCAACATTATGTTTTATATTCAAGTATTGTACTTATTTTATTTTAAATAGTCATAAATATATATACTACATATAACAAACTTAGGAACCTGATTATTGAAAATCAGGTTCCAATACATGGTTTTTAAATTTCAACTAGATAAACCCGTAACTATAGCATTAAAAATAAGCCATTTCTGCCTTGATTAATTCGTCGGGCATGGTTCAGTGCAGGGTATGCCCAGAATTTAAATATACATTTGCCTGGACATAACAGATAAGGACTTTTTATGTATATAACGAAGTTTTTTTTCTCAAATTACAGTAAATTACTACGTGGGGTCTTTTCTAGGAAAATGACCCAACTGGGATTATACAGATTTTATAAAATTTGTTTTTTAGCCATCTATCCGATCGAATAACTCTTTATTTTTCATTAAGTAGTCAATAAAAACAACTTCTCAAACTCTTTTACAAACATCATAAACTCATTGCCATCTTTATTATACAGATTTTATAAATGTTTTTTTTTAAACCATCTATCTGATCGAATAACTCTTTATTTTTATTAAGTAGTCAATAAAAACAACTTCTCAAACTCTTTTACAAACATCATAAACTCATTGCCATCTTTATCTTCCCCCTTCGTAATAGTGCTAAAATACTTTTGACTCAATTCTCCAAATAATAAGTCATTAAGTAATGGGTGTAATTGTAGTTTATCTTGTATTAATTTATCGATTATTATTCGGATATCTTATATAAAAGTTATAAAAGTTGGTATAAGCTTAAATATATTATTAATATAGCTAAACCCGTTATTCATTATTTACCTTTCAGAACGTTTTCTGTGTCTGATACAAGTTCAATCATCGCCAAAACTGTTATTATCACTCTATAGATAACAGTAAACACATTGGGAAGTGAAGTAAAACCAAGTGGTCCATTCTTCTTGGTCTTTAATGGACAGTAAATATGTAAAAAATTATTCCCCAAAATACTTAAATATAAATAAACAAAATAAACAAAATCTAAATACCTTTACTTCACGTGTACTTGCAGACTCGCATATTATGCCTAATTGTTGGACGCAAAACCTTGGAATATCTTTCCTAAACACGTCAGGAAATTCTAATCTATTTCTTTCCTTTCTTATAGCCGTTCGTAGATACTTATAAGCTAATTGAATATCAACCAAATCTTCTTTATATATATTTGGATTCTCTATAGCAAACAAAACTCTAGATGGTGCCACTTCTGACTTTAATATCTCATCTTTTCAAAATAAAAAATAATTGTATAAAAATATTTATGTCATCATTTCGTTCTTTAAGTGGAATACACATTATGTATCGAAAATTTATATGCCTGGTTTAACATCCCCCGTCAATATTTGTAATAACGCTACGTATAAATGAAGTGATCCAGAATATTGGTTGGTCATGTACTCATAACATAATTCTCGCGCCCTATCACAGCCAACCGGGTCCTTTAAAAACAAAAAAAAAAGGTAGGAGGATATTGATTTCCATATCTATTTTAAATATCAGTAATTTAGTAGAATGTGTTCGAACCTCCAAACTCATGGCTTCAGATACAATTAACGCAGCGGTTCGACGCAAATCAATGTCATCATCCTTTTTTGAAAGGACAAAAAAAAAAAATTTGAAATATTCAAATGGAAATTATTCAATTACTGATTTAAAGTTACCTGAGTAAGCCGAATGAGAACAATATATAAGGATATAAAATATTGTATATCAT